ATTTAAGGACAATTATTATGACACCAAAAACACAAGTAACAAAAGAGAAAACAAACTGGGCTATTAAGTTTCAAAATTTACTCATCGAAGGTATGATGATTCATTGGGTCACTCTAAGACATAGGATGACCCTGGAGACAAGTATCTGGACTTGTCTATGATGGTATTTCCAGAGAGGATTAATTGAAGAGGACAGACCCTGAATACAGGCAGCACCAGCCCAAGGGCTGAAGCCTCAGACTAAATGCAAAGGAGCAAGCAAGCTGAGCCACAGTATTCACCTATTTCCAGATGGCAGACACAACGTAACTAGCGGCCTCAAGTTCCTGCCACCACTCAGCTGATGGACTGTATCCCCTATAAGTGTAAAATCAGCCTTAAGTGGCTTTTGTCTGGCATTTTGTCATGGCACTGAGAAAGGAAAGACTACAAAGTAAAAGACAAATCAGAATGGTAGAAAATATATGGAAGTCACATTCTGACAACTAATCAAGATAAAGAAAGAATAATGTATGCACGGTGTGCAAGAGGCCTTGGGTTCAGCCTTCAGCACAGGAAAGAAACCTCAACTGAGACAAAGGACTCATACAATTCAACACACAACAAACAGAAGCCAATTTTTAAAAATTAATCAAGGGCTTGTGGGCTTGATGTTGTCTCCAAAAATATACAAGTGGCTAATAAGTACATGAAAGGGGGCTCAGCATCATTATCCACTATAGGAAGGCAGGTCAAACCACGATGAAACCACATTTCTTATGCCTGTGGGTAACTATTGATAAAATGAAAAGTTTTATTTTTCAATCTCAAAAGGATGTAGAGAAGCCGGCAGGGTTACACTGCCTTTCTGGACATGCAAGTTACATCTGTGGACATTTGCCAGCTCCCTGGACAGTTGTAAATTAACAGTTGAAGCACGACCTTAAGAAATACCACTTGTAAATCAATAGTCAGCATTATTTTCAAGAGCTGTAAGGAAGAAACAACCCAATTCCCATCAGCACACAATAAACATGTAAAGGAGTATTATTCAGTGATAAAAGAAGTAACACTTGCATGTGTGTGTGACATGTAGATACAGAAAGCACACCAACTGGTGTAAGCCAGACACAAAGGGCAAATGTTTTCACTCCATGTATCAGAAGCAGCAAATTAAATACAAAGGAAAGCAGAGGGAGTTGCCACTCAGTGGGACTGATAACCTGGAAATAATGACCGCACAACCCTGCAAGTGCTCTGCGGCACTGAATTACACCCTTAAAGTGGCTGGCTGTACGTCTACGTATGCCACAGAAAGTAAATTGTGCAGATTATTACAGCCACTCCACCCTGACCTCTGGTGGCTGCTCTTTTGGTATGTGTCTTTGTATAAAAACCCCTTCTGTTGAGTATGAGCTGGACTCAGTGACCTATTTTTTCTTTTTGGTTTTTCTGTGTAGGCCTGGCTGTCCTGGAACTCACTCTGTCCACCAGGATGGCCTCAAGCTTAGAGCTCCACCTGTCACTGCCTCCCTAGTACTGGGAAAAAAGAAAGCTTGTGCCACCACCACTTGACCCCATTTCTAACACACAAGGCAAGGACTTAGAATCTTGGTCACAAGGAAACAGCAGTGTTGCTTTCTTCCCAGTCATTATTTGGGTAAGTCAGATTCCACATTGCCATGCCATCAAGAGCCACAAACACATCCACGTGCCTGTCAACACCCACCTGAGCTCACTCACCTAAAGCAGGTCCTCCAGACCAGGCAAGTTCTGACGACATCACCCTTCTGGACCCCAAGTCAAAACACCCAGTCTACATACTCCTGGCTTTGACTCAGAAACTGGCAATTTGCCAAAGGTATGAAATGTGTAGTGATAATAACTAACTTGGGGGGAATGTTTAATCAAGGGTTCCAAGGGCCACAACAATCACAAAATGCTGGCATTTTCAACCCCTGGGTTATTATGTAAGTTTATCATTTATAATAAAACAAATGTTCCATTTAATCTGTACATTATGAGTAAGGACAAAGAAAAAATGGGGCTGGAATGATAGTTGGGCAGTTAGGTACACTGTTTATTTAAGATTAAAGGAAAATGTCCATCTTAGGGGGACAAGAAAGTTAGCAGTTGATATGAGACACCCTCAACCAAATCTCACTGGCATTAAAAGCTTTTATTGGGAATATCATCCACAATCTATACAAGTTATATACAAGGCATGAAAATGGAAAACAGCACAAAATACAATTGAGGTATAAGCTAAGAGCACAGTATGTTTCAATAAATATAATCCAAAATTTGTAAACTAAGTAACCAGATAGATGAATCTTATTTTTTTTTTTTTAGTAAAACCATATAAAATATTTATTTCACGTGAGGTAGAGGACAGTTTTGTGTGTCATGTAATGCAACCAACCACAGCAATTTTAATCATAAAACTATACACATTGGCAAAATTACCAGTTGAATTATGTTCAATATAGTCAATTTGCTTCAGTAGTTGCAGAAGGGACCGTTCACTTACTGCCTTCACAGGTTAGGAACTGAGGAATAATTGAAGACTATTACACTGCCTTAAAATTGCCAATATAAGTACTTCCAGCAGAAAAGCTAATGGCAACTATATTTATCACAAACTCTAACAACTCAAACAATGTCCTAGGTTTAACAATTATTTTAGGAGGGTGTTTTCATGAGAATTAAGTGTGCTGTGCTTTCTTTTATTTTCAAGTGAGGTATCTATATTGAAGAAAAAAAATCTTATAAATTTCTTTTATACTAAACTAACTTTAAACACTATTTTGTTTTCTGGGCTTAATTTTAAAATGTTTTATATTTGATCACTTCCTAATTCCAAAACAGTAACACTATATATATGACAGTTAATTCTACTTCTAAACAAGCTTCAAATTGTATTATGCATTTTTAAAAGCCATCTAAGTGGGAAGATTAAAAAAGACTGTCCTTTTAAACAAGATACAATACAAAATACCCATATATGTTTTTTTCCAATAGTGGAAATGTTTAAGTATCTTACACTAGAAAAAGAAAAAATTAAGTTCTGTTTAAATATCTCAATTACACAAGGATAATATATAATGCAGCAGTTCATATCACGTATTGCTGATTGCGTCTATGGAACTGTTAACAAGTACATCCAAGTGCGGGAGCAGATGTACAAGTGTGCACACAATTTGTCATCAGTTGTAATGCCCTGCCCTAAGAATTAAATGCACAATGGACAAATCAAAACATTCTTCCCTACCTACTCAGAGCATAACATACTGAGCACACCTTCCAGAATCAGATCAAAACCCTTCAAGGAACAGCTCTGCAGCTGTCGGTAGGGAAAGACCTCCGCACATTTCTTACTACTTGTGTTTCCTTTGCATTTTGCTTTTCTGCAGACAAGCCACAGACACACAAAGAAACGGGTTGTTCTGGTGTAACTTTCAAAGGCTACAGGAGCCTGCGAGCAAAGTGGTACTCACTGTTTCACCTACTTCAGTCTGCTTTATAATTCACTATGTACAAGTGAGTTTTTTCATTACTCCTTCCCACCCCACCCCTGTACAAAAGATTTTACATATAAACAGGTTATATATTAAATGTTATAAAATTAGCTCAAGAAGCATAAAACATCCTTATCCTCAAAAGCACAATTCAAGCAAAAGAATATATTTCAAAAATATTAAAGCCCAAGCCAAACCTAAATTGTTGGTCGAATCTTTTGGTGTTCAAAGCCTTGGTTGTGACTGGCAGGCGGTTTAAGAGTCTCCTTGACAGCAGCAGGAGCTCCCACACTTGGACCACAGAGAGACTATCACCACCAGAGCACGCATCACTCAGTATAAAAGCCAACACCATCTTTCCTCCACTTGCAAACTCTACAGTCCACTCCTAAATACACTTTTCAGTGCAAATGGTCTCATTTTTTCCTTAAAATGAAGTCTGAGGAGATATCGGCTTGCCTAGTGAACTTAGCACAACACAAGACCTAACACCAAAACAAACTTTAAGATAGCAACCAGCACACAAAAAAGCATGCATAAAATAAGTTTCATATGGAAATTTAAGCAGAGGTCACTTTGGGATTATTACAGAATTTCAATTGTTTTCAAGCTACTTGGTGCAATGTAACTTAAAGTTACTCTCAACAGTAGTAGGTATAATATTTACAGTTGATTAAAAATTATTTTAAGAAAGTTCAAACAGAAAACTATGGCACATCCTTTCATCTTCTGGAAAGCAGACTATGCTAAACTTTGTCATGAGGCAAGTTTCACTGAAAGACTAGAAAAATTTACATTTGCTATAGTAGCACAGAAGTACAAGTTTTGAGGAAGTCAGAAGAATAAACCATGTAAGTTTGCCTCCCACATAGCCAAGCTGTGCTATAACTGACAACTGACTTTACAAATGTCTGTCGTTTTTCTCTCTCCAGAACTAAATAAAATGACATATATGGCCCCTGTGCAATTTAATGTGTTTTCTCTCGAGAGGTTACAAAAAGTCGACACATTAAATTTAAAGCTAGCATGGTAAATCCACATTTAGGTCACAATAAATTTAGAAACCAAACTCCCTTTTAGAAAGCAGAAGAGTTGCTTTTAGATGTATCATAAACAAAATATGACCATAAGCAGGTACATGATAATACCACTGGGTGGGGCAATGACAGCCATAACTCTAAGTTATTCCTAAGCACAGATACCAAGTCACTTCACGTAGTGACATAAGACAGCTTGGGAAACATAAAACATGGTGATGATGCTAATGTCACTTTCAGGAAACCTCCCTAAAACACACACACACACACACACACACACACACACACACACACACACACACAGACAGCCAGGTGTGACTGGGCCCACACCTGTAAACCCAACACTTGGGAGGCAGAGACAGGAAGAACCCTGCAATTTGGAGGGTAAAGAAAACATACAATGCTCACTGAGAATTTTCTCTAGTGAATTTCAAGCCGAGCATCAACTAAGATGAAATACGCTGATAAAAATGTCAGACTTTAATGTGCAAAAACAAAATAAAAACAAAAGTGCAGAGGCTGCCCTTCCCCAAATCATGGAATTCATTTGTCATCTAAAAATTATCTAAAATTCCTGCTAGTAGCAGATACTTTAATTGTGGATTAGTAACCTATCAGATATTATTAGCTGACTGTAAATTCCTGATTTCAAGATTAAAGAGTCATAATGGTCCATTCGTGCAAGTTTTAAGATAACGTTTAAACATATAAAAGTTCAAAATAACCTTCAAGATATTTAATATTTTATAATTTAAAAGAAAAAAATCCATTATAAATTTCAGTAAGACCTTTATAAGACTACATACAAAAACTGTACAGGAGGGTTATGAATTACATAAGAACCAATGTACATCAGTGGAGTCCATTTTACTCATGAAGATTTCGCACCACTATTAACAGAAGTTCAGAAATAATTTTAACTTTCTGAAATCGTACACACATATCTAGTTATAGCCACTCTTGACTGAAAGACAAATGGCAGCTGCTTCTTGTGTGCGGCATCGGGGCACAGCAAAGTGCACTCCCCGCCACTGCATGTTGGGGTGGTGGTACCATCATTCCATTAGCAAAACACTCCACAACCTGAACAAAATAAAAACAGGTGTGTTATATAAAAATGAGAAGATTCAGCTGGGCGGTGGCGGTGCATGCCTTTAATCCCAGCACTTGGGAGGCAGAGGCAGGTGGATCTGAGTTTGAGGCCAGTTTGGTCTACAGAGTGAGTGCCAGGAAAGCCAGGGCTACACAGAGAAACCCTATTTCAAAAAACAAAAAACAAAAAAAAAACAAAAAAAAAACAAAAAAAAAAACAAGGGAGGGAGGGGAAAAAAGGAGATTTCGTAATAACATATCCTGTAATGAGAAGGACGATACAGGGTTGAGGAGCTCTGTATCATAAATATCAGCACTGTATCAAAACAGGGCCTAAAATATGCATAACAAAAATCGACACAGCAATTTTCTACCACGTACTACAGCTTTGAAAAGGATGTAACTGTTAGGCTTGCCTTAAAAATACAGATAGGTGTCTACAGGTTGAAATTACATGGGTTATCATTACCAAGCTAACTGCAGAAAGTACAAAAAAGCATCCATTTTCACTCATTTGGAAAGTGGAAATATTTATGTACTAATATGTAATCTTTTCACTTTGCTGCCCTGCAAATGAACAGAATGTCTTGTTATCTTCATGCAGATATGGCAAGATGACAGAATTCAATTTCCAAAGTAAGTGACAAACATAAATCCCTGTCAACCAAACACAGATCCATCTCTTCGGCTCCTATTCCTTGGTGGTCTTTGATGATTTCACAATCTGCAACTTTAGCTCTTTTATCATCATCTCTAACTTCTGTCTTGCCTCCCGTTCCTGTCTGAGTTCATCTTGGAGTTCTTGCCTGTCCGCCTCAGCATGGTCTAGTCTTTGCCTCAATTCTGCCAACTGTAAAATTTAAAGGCTATTAGTTTTTCATCACTTTGATTTTTCCCCCATTTAATCACCTTACCATGGTTATAAAACAAATTGCCATTTGCTTTTTACAAAATGAACTATTTTCATGCATCTCTCAGAACACCCACTATGTCTGACATGATAGTGAATTGCAGGTATAGGAGTGTCAAGAGGGATGAAGATGTATTGTAGCATCCTCTCACAAAGGTTGATAGCAGCACTGTGACTCTCTCCACAGCTGCTATGTTAACCTGCTCATCTTCTCCATATTTGTGATAATAGTAACAGAGTTACTCATGGGTGATAGCTTGGAACAAAAGCTCATCTTATTATACCAAAGTAACTAAAAACTGCATGGTGCTAGAGATTGAACCCGGGTCCTATGCATGAAGCAGGTATTTTAATACTTAACTAGATCTCTAGCCCAAAAAGATGGAAAATTTTATGCAGAGAGCACTAAACATTAGTAAATGAGATAACCAAATTACAGAATCCCAACTAAAACTGAAAATAATAAAGGTTAAAAAAAAAAAAAAAATCTTACTGAGCTGGGCAGTGGTGGTTCACTTTCCTTTAATCCCAGCACTGAGGAGACAGAGGCAGGTGGATCTCTGTGAGTTCAGGGTCAGCCTGGTTTACAGAGCTACCCAGAAAAACTCTGTCTCAAAAAACACCCAAAAGAAGAAAATCTTATTGGAGCCACCTCTCCCCAAAACCCCACCAAACAAGGGCAGGGAGGAGGAAGGACAAGGGAGAGCAAGCAAGAGAGCTGTCTTGGTAAAGCACATAGGGCTTGCTTTAAACAAGTCTGCACTCTCAGAAGCAAGTGTCCACCCATGCCATGCTCACAGCTGCCTGTGCACTCTCACCTGGGCCGCATACTCAGCCTCTTTGTCCTTCTCTAGATGTGAGTCGCAGGTGCACTTCTGCTCCATCACCTGCTCCAGCTTCTTTTCCAAGTCTCTCTGCTCCACATAGAACTCCTCCATCCTCTGAGCATGCTCGCTCTGCAGTGACTCGAGCTCTCTCTGCAGATTCTGCTGCTCCTCAGTGAGCTCCTTCATTGCCTTAGAGCTGCTCAACATCTCCACTTCCTGTAACACAGCAACAGTTCTTTATTTCCATCTCCTCAGGAAAACCTAAATCAGCAAGTATCTAAAGTTCAGCTATGGTAGCACATCTATACTGAAGAACTGCTTCTTAGTATAAACAGAACCACCCTGAGTCTGTCTGTGCCATCTCATTCTGACTTTCTTATCATGAAAAGCTATCACAACAATGACTATTTCTTAAGGCAATTTACCATCTGAAGCTGTTGCTTCTTCTGCAGAATTGAATTCAGCTTCTCCTGCTGTTTTACATAAGTTCTCATCACTTCTTCCATAATCCTTCCCTTATCATCCTCACATGTAACATCTCTGACCAGAAATGGAGAGGAAGCTTCAGCATCATGCTTGCTTATGTCTCTCACCAAGTTGCCAACAGTAGACTCAGATTTCTTTTTAGTCATAGAATTATTTGAGATCAATGGATCTTGGGGAAGAAATAGAAGGGGAAAAAAAGTATTAATACCACTGGCAAAAAGTTACTGAAACAATACACAAGTGAAATTAAGAAAACAATTCAATCAATAATTCAACTATAAAAACAATAAAATACCTTTTTGAGACTACAGACTTAATCTACTCAGTGTAATCCACATAAAAACCCCAGCTCCTATTTTCACAGCAACTAACCAGCTAATTCTAAGACTCACATCGAAACGTGAGAAATTCAAAATTGCTGTTACTATTGTTCAAAGACAATTCAATCAAGAAAAGAAAAATCTTTTCAACAAATGAGAAGCAATTCTAATATGTAAACAAACAACAAAAAAGAAGTAGGACTCCCCACAGTGTATAAATATTAACTCAAGGCCAGGCAGCAGTGAAGCACACCTTTAATCCCAGCACTTGGGAGGCAAAGGCAGGGCAGATCTCTGTGAGTTTGAGGCCAGCTAGATCTACAGAGTTCCAAAACAGCCAGGGCTACAGAGAAACCCTGTCTCAAAACCCATCCCCCAAAATGGTATATTAATTCTAAACCATGAAAATATGAGATCAAAGAATTAATAATTAATAAGAGCTGAAATCATTTAGTACAAACCTTCCTGGCCTTGGACTAGGCAATGCTTTCTTAGGTACGACACTTGAGGTAAGAAAGCAAACTGAACTGCATAAAAATTGCAACCTCATATGCTTTAAGTATCACTAATTAGATAGTAAAAGGGAATTGTCAAAATGGCAAATCATTATGTCTAATAAGACCAAAATGTAAAATGAGCTCCTGGAACTCAATTTAAAGACAACCCAATTTAAAAACAAGCAAAATTAATGAATTAACTTTTTTTTTTCAAATAAAATAGCCAATGTCCAGAAAATCATAAAAAGATAATGATTAATCATTAGGAAATTACAAACCAAAACCACATAAGACACTATTACCATAACCACTGCAATGACTGAATTCAGAACAGATAGTAACAAGTGTTGACACAGATGTAAAGGCACTGAAACTTTCAAAAACTACTGAGAAATCCAGCATAGTGCAGCTACTATGGAAAGATCTAATAGTACTTGCATGTAAGTTGTCAGTATTCTTCATAATAACTACAGAGACACAATGGAAAACATCCACCAACTCATGAGGGGATAAACAAAACATGGCATATCCATAGTAAAATACTAAAACACTGCTCCTACCAACAACACAAGATGAGAACATATCTAATAAAACATGCAGACCTCAAAACTGCACATTGCCCTTCTTTTTGTCTAAAATGTCCATAATAAGCACATCCACAAGACAAAACACAGACAATGAGCTAAAAGAAAGGAGAATAAAGGTGACCACCAACAGGTGCCAGGGACTCTTACAGAAGTCATGAAAATGCTCTGGCATCAAACAGATGGGAAAAAAAGAAGCTACCTGACTTGGTTTTTTTGGATTTAGTTCTTATATGCATGAGTGTTTTGCCTGCATGTATATATGTATATCATGTGTTTATATGTATGGTGTCTGCAGCACAGATTAAATCTCCTGGAACTAAAGTTACAGGTAAGATATGAGCCACCACATGGGTGATAAGAATCAAACAAACCCAGGGCCTCACAAAGATCAACAGGTGCTCTTAATCTCTGAGACATCTAATTAATTGGGCAGCCAAACAATGCAAATATAATGATACATGAATTATTACCATCACAGTTCAATTCAGAGGAAATTGAGTCACAGCGGTAACAGCTCAAATCCAGGAAGCTGTCAATCTTTATGAAGGTAGTATAACAGCAAGACTGCCTGACAACCCAAAGATGCTAAATGACTTCAAACGCAGGACACTGAGCAAAGCCGCAATACTCAACAGACCCAGGCAGCATCAACATGTACACCTCTCCTGTGGTCCATGGCATTTTTAAAGTTATAGGAAACACAAAGATTTTCTTTGCAATACTGGTCAGCATGTTCATCAACACCATCTGTCTGCCCCAATCTTTCTTTACTGTGTAATGAGCCCCAGTTGTGTACCTCCTGAACCACACAAGTTCAATGTTAAATACACTTAACAGGTAAAGCATCTCAATTCATAGAAAGAAATCAGAAAAGACAAAGAACTGTGAAGAATTCTACCAACAAGAGGAAGGAAGGAAGAAAGGGCAAGCGACAGAGTCATGTGCACTGAAGCTATGCACCTTCCCCTCTCATCAGCCTCCATAGGCTGCCACCATTCTAGAAAACTCACAACTGAGGTGCAAAGAAATCACCCTGAGTTTTCAAAGTCAGAACTGTTCTAAAGTAAAAGTTGTGATTATATGGGGGGGGGGTACCTTAAATAGAAAAGACTTTTAAAATACTGAGTAAAAGAGTTCTTAACTAGCTGATTTTTAAAATATAACTTCTAAATACTTACCTAAACGACTGTATAATTCTCTACTTGTTTTTAAATCCATTTTCTCCTGTTCCTCAAGTGAGACGTCTGGGTAAGACACTGTTTTTTGATGTTTACTACTACCGTGAGGCTTTTCTGACTGTTTGGAGATGAACTTACTTGTCTCTGTCTTGGTGACCTCTTTAGACTGGGATACAGCAGATGTGAGTGACACATTCGGTGCAACCACTTTATCACACATGTACAAATAGTAGCTGAAAACAGACAGGCAAAACAAAACACACATTACATATCATGCGTAATATAAATTAAGATGTGGTATCTTTCTATAAACTCCATTTTCTAGTTAGTACTAGAACAACCAATGTAAAAATACAAAGAAAAAGTCAGAACTTAAGGACAGCAAAACTCCGAGGGATTTTTGTTATTTTGAGAGCAATTTCAAAACAACTAAAGTGATACTGAAGAGAAAAGGTGAGTCTCTGCTTTGTCCCTCAAAAGCCCCTGAGAACTAGAACCATGAAATACCATGTATGGTACCTCACATTTATAATCCCAAGACCTGGAAGCCAAAATAGGAGGACTGCCATGAGTTACTTAGTCTAGACCTGCTTCCCTGGGCTGTACAGAGAGAGCCTTCCTCAAGACACAAGTAACTGTAGCAAGAGCTTCTTCTCATTCAGGGACGCTTGCTGCAGGGAGAGAACAGGATTGTCAGCTGCTGGGGCGGGGCGGGGGGCTATTTTCCTTCCCACAGGTAAGCAGTGTTGGAAAGTGAGACTGAGTCAAAGAGGTGCTCCCAGGGACCTGCCTGTTTGTCTCAAGAGAGAGAACATATTCTTAGAATATTGCCCAGCTACCAGGCAATGCTTCCATCAAAATCTATTGCTGAGATGAAACACCATGAACAAAAATCAAGTTGGGGAAGGAACTTGGCTTACTTTTCCACATCACAGACCATCACCAAAGGACGTCAGGACAAAAGCTCAAGAGGGCAGGAACTGGGAGGCAAGAGCTGATAGAGGCCATGATGGAGGAGTGCTGCTTACCAGCTTGCCCCCCATGGCTCACTCAGCCTGCTTTCCTATAGAACCCAGTACCACAAGGCCACGGAGGGCTCCACCACCATGAACTGGGCCCTCTCCTGTTGATCACTAATTGAGAAAACACCTTGCAGCTGGATCTCATGGAGGCAGAGGCATTTGCTCAACTGAGACTCCTTCCTTTATGATGACTCTAGCTGTGTCAAGATGACAAAAAAACAACCAGCACAAAACCCATACAGCAATCTCTTAAAATTCTTAATGCAGCAGCAGCAGGAAACAATACAAAATTAAAACTGAAAGAACAATTACTGACTTTTCTCAAAACATGAAAATGCTCAGTAGGTTATCTGAAAGGCTTACATCACACATTTGAGATACCTAACACTGAAAAGATATGGCCCTACACTTTAATTTCCTTTTACATCTCTCTTTGTGCAGGATACCTATGTTACTACTCTTTTTCTCTGGTTCTGAATACTGGGCATTCTGCTTTAAAATTAAGCAAACAGACCCTTTCATGGGTTTAACAGTGCCCTGGAGACTTATTTGGAAACTGTATGATGGTGACCATGTGCATGTTGTGAACCATAAAGCTAAGACTGACAACTGGGATGTACTTTTATTGAAATATAAACACTGGATTGTAAAGGATATGGTTATTATAAGATCTCCAAGTTTCAAAAAACATTTGTTTTAAAAATTATCAAAGTAAGGAGGGGTGCAGGGGTGCACACTCTAATCTCAGCACTAATGAGGCAGAGGTAGGTAGATTTCCCTGAGTTCAAGTCCAAGCTGGACTACATATGGAGGCCAGCCATGGCTATCTAGTAAGAACCTGTCTCAAAAAAACAACAATAACAACAAAACAAAAAAGCAAAGTAACACACTCTTGAATAGTCAGTTCACCTCTTAAAGGTAAATAAAAGAAACTGATTCCTTCAATTTCTATTTCAAATTAGAAATTTTTTATTTCTAGAAAAACAAACATCTAATAAAGGTTACTGCAAATATTAAATAAATTTGCAGTCCACTTCTCTTTAGAATCTTTGACTTTTTTCTAATAAAATAGCTAAACAACTTCCCTATAATAAAAACAAGCAAAAAAAAGTGTGTTCAATCCTAATGTACTTGCCTAAAACAATTCTGAATCTTCAGAGAAACAAGGAAAACCTAAAGGGAAGGTAACTTATATTTTAATTCCTGGAATTGTCCCTAACAGATAGCTGCTGGTAAAAGAATCACAAACAAGCAAACAAACAAATGAAAACTCACTTACCTGGGGTGTAAAAATGAATGCGTTTGAGAAACATGTTCCCCTTCCTGTTTTATAACAGGATACCAGGATGGCAATTCCATTCCTGATGGTGCATCTGTCTGTAAGAGTATGAGGAAAGAAAGTTACTGAGGGAAAGATGACTTCTCTTTGATTCAGTGAGTGTGCTTTAAGGGATAGAACCCAGAAATTAAACCCAGGGCCCTGGCCATGGTATGAAAGCAATCTGACCACTAGGCTCACAGCCATTCCCTAAAGCTAATCTTATGCCCACTTGACAGGGCTGCAGAACAAGTGTCACAATTTTAAGACTCATCTTAAACTAAGTGCTCTCCCACAGTGCTATCTTTCTCTCATTCCTTAAAACTTAGTGACTGCTCCTATCTGGTCCCAAGTTAAAAAAAAAAAAAAAATGGATATTCAAATGACTCAGCCCAACAAAAACAATTTCATACTTTAGGAATCAATTTCAAAGAAGTTAACAGGATCCTGAAAGCACATAGCATTGAGAACCTCTGATTCTCACTCTTGCTCACAATCAATCAACCCGTCCGCCACAGCACTTCCTACAATTTTAACTAGATGATATTCTACTACAGCAGTAAGTACTCTCTGGCCAATTAAATCTAAAACTGCTTGCTAATAAGAATCAGTACACTATATTCCTTGTAACTATTTAAAGCTTCCATGTATTTCTGCATGCCAGAAGAGGGCACCAAATCTCATTATAAATGATTGTGAGCCACCATGTGGTTGCTGGGAATTGAACTCAGGACCTCTGAAAGAGCAGTCAGGGCTCTTAACCTCTGAGCCATCTCTCCAGTCCATATTTAAAGCTTTTTTTTTTTTTTAAGCACACAGGAACTTGAAGCAGAAACTGAAACAGACACCACAGAAGGTGGCTGTTTAGTGTCTTGCTCCATGACCTCAGCTCAGCAAGCTTTGTTGTATCGAAAGAGACCTCCTGCCTATGGCTGATGCTGCCTACAGTGGGGTGAGCCCTTTTACATCAATTAGCCATCAAGAAAATGCCCCACAGATAAGTCCCACACAGGCCAATCTGATCTGGGCAATGACCCAACTGAGGTCCTCTCAGATAACCGTGGACAGTGTCAAGCAGACAATGGAAGCTAACTAGAACACTCCCTTCAATGATTATCTAGTATTGTCCCTAGCCAATGTCTAAATTCCCAATACAACTCTAGAAAGTGGCCATCCAGACTCTGAACAGTAACTTAAAGTCCAAGGATAGTTTTGCTTTTGTATTTTCAGTACCTAGCACCATGCCTACCATGCAGTATTTATTGAGTGATTTTGAATGATGGGGTAGCTCAGTAATTCCAGGGTAGCATTTTAAGGTTATTGTGGCAAGGGTTCCATGGCAGAGTGTCTGCCTAGGATATGTGAGGCAGTGAATTTAATCTCCAGCACCAACAAAGAGGAGAGGACCACAAGACAAAGGAGGAAGCAATGGTACAAAGTTACTGGCCATCATGAAACGCAAAAGACATTTGGCATCTTTCTCCTCCATGAAGCACAAGGGAAGTTGAACATATTTGGCTGCATTTTCTCATATGCACAAATTAAATAACACAAATCCTAAGAAAATGTGCAATGCCAACAGTGATAAAGTTGTACAAGTTAATTCTGAATGCTGTGGTAAGCCACAAACACATTTAACAAATTATCCTAACTACATGTTAAAAACAATTAAGCACATATTACAAAATGGAACATTCACAGACACGCCAGATTTTCTCTCCTAAGCTAACATTTGTGTCAACATACAAATTAGGTTTTCAGAAAAAAGAATATAATTAAACAGAACAGCAGTAATATTCCTGATCAGAAATACAAATTAGTTATCAGAATGGGAGCCTTTTATCTTAACACTCAATGTGGGACAATTTACTCCTTTCTGTACCTAAACATTAAAACAATATGCATCCTATCACTTGGCAGATGCAGATAGAGAAACACATCATTTAGTAGTTTAAGGCAGCCTTCCTATTTTAAAATGCTTCTACTGTTCGACTGTCCCATCATCTACCTCAAAAAGAACAGCTAGCACCTCACAAACACACACACACACACACACACACACGCACGCACGCACGCACGCACACACACACACACGCAAAGTTTCAGATACATTATTTTCAATCCAAAGCTTCATTCTCTACTAGACACCAAAGTAACACCTATAAAAGCAAATTCTAAGGGATCCCAAAATATACATTAAGTTCATTTTTAATAAATAAGGCTTAGGAAAGAATTTCAAAGTCTCCCTAGCATATTAACTGACACTTCATATACACAGCCCATGCATAATCAGATAGCCTAACAAATGATGCATGCTTATTAGTTTCACAATGACACATTTTGGGAAAAACTAACTTTGTTTTTTACAAGTAATTTTTGGTGCCACTTTTAATACAAAGCACGTGCACCTGCTCAAAACCCTAAGGTCCTTGAATCCTAGACTTACATTCAAGAATAAACGTCTTCTAAGAGGTATACTCAGTTTTAATTATAACACTGATTTTTAAAAAATGGGTCAATGCTTTAAAATGCTTGTGAAACTTCCAAAATCCCAATAAAAACTAAGACACTTTTAAAGTTTTTAATGTTTTTTCATTTAGAGTGTGAGAATATGTGTTTGTATGAGTTGAATGTGAGTGTGTGTATGTGTATGTGTGTTTTCAAAAGATAATTTTCATGAGACAGTGCTCTCCTCCTAATATGTTTAACCTGGGGACTGAACTCAGGTCATCAGGTATGATGGCAAATGCCCTTACCCACTGTCATTTTGTTGGTACCCCCCAAAAAAAAATCTTTGAAAAGCAGAATTTTTAAAAATGCTACAAATATGGCAGGCATCATTGGTGGTACATGCCTTTAATCCCAGCACTGGGGAGGGAGGGAAGCAAATCTCTGAGTTCAAAGCCAGCTGGGTATACAGAACTAGTTCCAGGACATCCAAGGCTGCTGTTACACAGTGAAACCCTGCCTCCAAAAACCAAAAACCAAACAAACAAAAAGCTACAAATGGGGCTGGAAAGATGGCTCAGTGGTTAAGAGAACCCAGGCTCAATTTCCAGCACCCACATGGTAATCCACAAGTATCTGTAACAATCTCAAGGGTCTGACACCTTCTACTGATCTCTCCATAGGCATAGGCATGCAAGTGATGTAGACAAACATTCAAACAACACACACACACACACACACACACACAAAATATACAGGCTAAAGATGCTACAAGTAATAATCATTTTTTAAATTCTTATGTTCAAAGACAGCATACCAACTGGTAAGTTTAGTAGATTTTTGGTTTTTTTTTTTTTGGGGGGGGGGATTGGTTTTTTTGAGATAGGCTTTCTCTGTGCAACAGTCCTGGCTGTCCTGGAACTAGTTCTGTAGACCAGGCTGGTCTTGAACTCACAGAGATTCACCCGCCTCTAATTCCTGAGTGCTGGGATTAAATGTGTGTGCCACCACTGGACAGTTTAACAGTCTTAAGACAAACACTTATATAAAAAAATACACTACAATGCACATTAAATGCATATTGTTATATAATATGTTCAACATAAACTGTCGGCAACCTTGCCAAGGACATTACTAGATAGCCTAGACACTATTGCTTAAGAAATACCTCCTCTGGTATGAAGTAATACCCCTGGCCCTGGGTCTTTATATCATATATAACAAAGACATTCAAGTGGTTAATACATGATTTCAGAAGTATACAAAGCACCTTTTACCAGATAGCTGCCAACAACTTTTACTAAAAGAAACCCAATCCCTCAGATGGTATCCAGTTTCCTCAGTGTGCCGAGCATTTGAATGAGCATGTCAACAACTGAAATAAAACTGTTAGGAGGTAGCAAACAGCTACTTTGGAGCTTTTCAGGCTTAGATTTATGCCTCACTTGACTGAGAATTAACCTAATGCAAAACTGAAACACTAGGATCTAAGCACCTGTATTAACTTATCAAGGGCTGATCCCATGGATCACTGGGAGTCACATCAGTGCCTGTTGCTCACAATGAAAGATCAAACTCCCCACACACCTGACAAAGCCCAGGTGGAAAGCAAAGGTTCTTATAATAAATACGTAGTCATCTTAAACTTCATGTGAGTTGGTAGCACAGCTCTCCCATTGCAACTTGAACTGATAAAACTCTTGTCAAGGAAATAACAAAAATACTAAGAAAATAAAATGTTATGCTGTAATTATTGCATAATTATTGCTCTTAACTTTGTATATTAAACTATAAACATCAATATGCTGCACCCCCATGGCCCCCTCCCCCCCAGGTGCTTGGGATCACCAGTCAAGCATCCCGCCATTGAGCCACATCCTCAGGTAGTTAAGCAGGGTTCTAGTTTGTTTTTAGTCACTGTGACAAACACTGACCAAAAGCAACTTGCAGATAAAAAAAAAAAGGGTTTATATAACTCTCACTTCTAAGTCAGTCCATCACTGAGGAAAGTCAGGACAGCAACTCAGGCAGGAATCAAATGAAGCAGGAAAGCTGGCTTGCTCAGCTTTCTTGCTTCTACAAGCCAGGTATACCTGCCCAGGGGTTGGCCATCCCACAAAAGACCAATCTGATTGAGGTAGCATCCCAATTCAGACTCCTTCAGGTAACCCTGGCAGCTGGAAGCAACTGGGAAAAGCATCCTCAATGCTATAGCCATATTCTCACTGGAGCATGTCAAAATGTTTAATATGTATAAACCTAAGGCTTTCTGCATGTATGGATGGGTACCAGATGGGCAAAAGGGTAAGGATTCCTCTGGAATTGGCTATAAATCACCATCTGTGGGAAATCACACCTAAATCCTCTGCAAGAACAGTAAATGGTCTAACCACTGAGCCAGCTCTCCAGAACCAATTTTTTTTAAGATTTCAGAGGTGTCATCTTTTTCATGCTCCAACTTAATTTTAACTTCAATGATTCTATATCTGAAATGTCTTTTTTATTATTATTTTGTGTACATTGGTATTTTGCCTGCAGGTATGTCTGTGTGAGGGTATTCAGTCCTCTGGAACTAGAGTTACAGACAGTTGTGAGCTGCCATGTGGG